TGGGATTACAGGCATGAGCCACCACACCTGGCCCCAATTAGTGCTTTGAACGCTGTCTAAATCCTCACATCACAGAGAACATCCCTCCTCCTCCCGCAGGAAAGAAAGGAGTGGCTGGATGGTATCAACCTCACCAGGTGTGCTACACCAAGGCCAGAAAGAGCCGCTGAAGGAGGTGGTGCCCACAGGGCTTGGACACGGGACATGCCAGCTGCACATGGAAGGCCATTTCTCACAGCACTCTGCTTGTCCTGGGCACAGGAACCAGATGTTTCAGGGGCTCAGAGCCAAGTACTTTTGGGGTCTGGGTACTGCACAGAGAGGGCCCAGGCACTTGTTCTGCTTGCCGTGTACCCCACCATGCCTGCGCTGAGGACCAGCCTCAGTCCATCCTGCCCAGAGGGCTGGGAGCACACATTGGGCCTGGAAGCCAGAAGTCCTCTCAGAGACACTGCTTGCAGCCCTGTGGGAGGGGTTGGATGGGGGCTAGGGTCTCCAGATAAAACGGTAATTTGAGAAACCCTCCCAGGCAGCTAGGAGGTGGGAGGCTATGGCATTAACCCCAGGGAACTGTTCTTCCTGAAGGTCTGGACTCCCTCTGGAGGGCAGGATGCTTTTGCAGACATGGTCCTCACCCCTCTACTCTGTTCCCATCCTCCCTGGCACCTGTTCTGGCTGGTAATTGTCTACTTATTTGTAATGTAAGCTCCCGGAAGTCAGTGTGCAAATGGGAGGGGCTCCACTCACCAAAGACTTCCCAGTCCTGGGCCCCAGGCCAGGCGAGTCTGGAGAAAGGCTTGCACCACAGGGTCCCTCACCAGGCCATGGAACTGGAAGCTGAAGGCCCACACAAGGCCACTGCCTGGGAGAAAAAGCATAGGCAAGTGTGCCCGTCATGGATTGTCACAGAGCGTTGGGAAAAGAAGCCACGGGAAGGACCAGCCCTGGAAGATCCGACGAAGGAGTTGTGATGTCAACCTGAAGGTGTCTGGAAGAGTTTTAAGCAGTTCAGAAGTTTGCATTTCAGGAACATTACTCCGAGGTGACAGCCACTAGGATGTCAACGATGGCTGTCTCTGGGGGTGGTGCCCCTGTGCGCTTTCTTTCTTTTTGCTGATCTGTGTGTTTTCTGCAGTGAACGTAGTTTACCTGTGCATGTCACTTTCCTAAGGCTGCCATAACAAGTCACCACGAACTTGGTGGCTTCAAACCAGAAAAGTGTGTTCCCCCACAGCTCTGGGGGCCAGAAGGCGGAGACCAAGGTGTGGACAGGGCTGTGCCCCCTCTGAAGGCTCTGGGAGAGGATCTGCAGGGCCTCTTCCAGCTTCTGGCTCCTCCTGGAGATCCCTGGCATGGGCACCGCTCCAATCTCTGCCTGGGTCTCCTACGGCCTCTTTCCCTGGGTGCCTGTGTTCTCTTGTCTTCTTGTAAGAATGTCACTCATTCATGATGATTTCATGTTCAGATCTTTAACTCAACTATATTTGCAAAATCCCTTATTCCAAATAAGGTCACCTTCTGAGTATCTAGGTGGTTGTGAAGTTTTGGGGCACCACCATCCACTGCACTACAATGAATAATACAAATAAAATTTAAAGGGAAATTAAAAAATCATTCTAGGGCTGGGTGCCATGGCTCACACCTGTAACCCCAGCACTTTGGGAGGGTAAGGCAGGAGGATAGTTTGAGACCAGGAGTTCGAAACCAGCCTGAGCAACACAGGGAGACACAATCTCTACAAAAAACTACACCCACCTCTATCAAAAATACAAAAATTGGCTGGGCGGTGGTGTGCACCTGTAATCCCAGCTACTTGGGAGGCTGAGGCACAGGAATTGTAGCACGTGTAGATCGTGCCACTGCACTCCAGCCCGGGTTAGGAGTGAGACTCTGTCCCCAAAAAAGAAAAAAAAAAATAGACAAAAGACACGAAGAGAAATTTCTCCAAAGATGCACAAATGGCCAACAAGCAAATGAAAAGATTCTCAGCATCATCAGCCATTAGGATACTGCAAACCATGTTTTGTCACTATTCACGGGCATTAAATGTGCTGATGCACGCACGAAATAGTTCATAAAGATATCAGTGGGTTGGCCGGGCGCGGTGGCTCAAGCCTGTAATCCCAGCACTTTGGGAGGCCGAGGCGGGAGACCATCCTGGCTAACATGGTGAAACCCCGTCTCTACTAAAAATACAAAAAACTAGCCGGGCGAGGTGGCGGGCGCCTGTAGTCCCAGCTACTCGGGA